GAATTCGCATGGCACCCAGCTGGGCTCCGATAAAGTATTCTATGACCTTTTTCAGCGTTCACGCCGTGCTACTTCAAAACAAATCAAAAGTGAATAGCTCCGACTAGGCAGGTGTATGCTGAGTCCTTTCTTTTCTCTTTCACTCTCTTTTGCGGCCATAAAAACAGCAACATTCTCACTTAGTCTTTGTGCTACATAGTGTGTGGGTGAGACAATGTAGGGCTTTAACAAGAAAGCTTATTTTGGGGACTGCATGACAGAAGCTACCCCTTAGCGGTCGCATTGGAGTATTTCCGGATCTTTTTTTTTTGTAAGTAGCCTGCGTGCGTGAAAAAAGCAGCGCAGTGTATTCTGCAGCCAACAGGTGTACAGTCGATAGTGCTGAGAAGTATACACCGTAGCACATCTAGAAAAGCCGACGCATCAGATCTGCAGATCGGGATCTCGACGACTGACGACCTTACTCTACGTTTTCTTAAACATGGTAAGTGTTTCACCAGTTGAAGTAGCAGCTGAAGTACCTTTTCTTGTTTTAAAGATGACTTCGGGGCATGTAAGGACAGCTTACACGCTGCCAAATTTGATAATATTATCTGAGGTTTCACGGTACGAAAACCACGATATGTATATGAGAGACGCCGCAGTGGAGGGCTCCGGCAATTCTTTAACGTGGACCGACATCGCACAGTGTATACAGGCCCCTACGATTTAGCCTCCATCAAAGTGCAGCCGTCGTGGCCGGAATCAAACCCACGACCCTTGGGTGAGCAGTCGAGCCCTTTAACCGCTACACCACCGCAGCTGACGTTCCTGGTGATCCTATTTCCTGTTTATTCGGTGGTTCCACCCACGAATAAATAGGTGATAGTTGGCACTTTGTCCCATGCCCTTGCTGACGAACGTGTTTCAATCTCGCGCAACCTTTTGATTTCAAGCATAATAACGAGGTTGCTGCCTTGATTTGTTTTTCTCGCAGAGAAAATGAAAGACACCTGTACAGTTTTGGGTCTCCCGTCTTACTTCCGCCGCTCCATCAGACGGTTAGCTCTCATGGCGCTTCGACTGTTCGACAGTTTGAATTATTAGCTTCTCACGGCAGCTGCTGAGCTTGAGCGCTGCCATCGGTGGGACTGATGAGAGCTGTTTTCCTGTGCAAACAATACTAAGCATCCTACACCGTCTCGTTCACTCTATAAGAACGCACTTGCCTGTAAAGACACACACGTTACTGTGCATGTTTCTTTAGGACCACCTAGTGCGTACATAACAAGTTTGAGAACACTGCACGCGCAAGATTTCTCCAGGCCTAAAGACTGCAATTTATTACACATAAGGCAATCACACGCGAGAGCTTCATGGACACAGGTGATATTGAACTTTATGTATTGAAATGTTGCAATCCACCATTTAATCTTCTCGAGTAACATAAAACAATAAAAAAGTATGCTCCAGGCGGTAGAAGTGCGCACTAAAGACAGGATGTCGCTATCTCGTTGAACTCTTAACGACAAAGCTTAAGAACCACCCAATTTTCGAAGAACAATTCAAGTACTTTCATATCCACCGGCTCGACATGTTTCTTAATGTGCAATGAAGCGCGGAAGAGTCATTCTCGTTCACATCTTTGCTTGAAGACAGTCTTGCAATCTCTTCACACTTCCCTCGGCGTCATTTTCTGACGCTTCAAGGACCGGCTCCACCGACTGTATCCACCGACTCCACCGAGGTATCCACCGACTCCACCGAGGTATCCACCAACTTGCTGAAGCCAGTCGGTGGATATCATGAGGGAATTCTTGAATTGCGGATAACGAAAAAAGCCATCAAACAAAGCGATAAGCGGTGACGTGACGCTTTATTGCAAAAGTGGATGCTGTAGTTTTAACAGCGTATCTGTTCAGGAGGCCGGCTGTTCGTCCAGATCACGCTCGAACAAAGTGTTGAATATCAGCCACAGCAAGGCTAGTAGCGCTCAAACCTGCGCTAAAATGAGAAAACAAGGTCTAAAATTATATATTGAAGAGAAAAAGTGAAGAAATTATGGCATCATGTCACATAACATCGCTAACAAGAGGCTGATTTTCGCAGGACCGAAGAAAGGGCACCATCGCGTCACCGAGCGAGCGTATGCCCTTTTTGTTTTCCCTATACGCCGGCGCTGTGGTACCACATCTACGTGACTGCATCTGACGAGAGGAAAAACCCAGAGTGCGTATCTCAACGGCCGTGAAAAGCGGGTAGTCAAATAAGCACATCCAAAAAGAGTGCTCATTTCGCACAGTGACCGTGCACGTCTCCCTAACAAAATTGTAATCGTGCCGGTGGCACGCTACAATTTTACTTCAAACATTGGCCTCATTGACGTATCCGCAAACGGAGCAGTGCGAATTCCACCAACAAAGATCACTGGGTGTCCAAGTGACGCATATCCTCGGGCTTCACAGTAATAGAGATTGTTTATGTTCTTTATTCTTTATTTTGCTTGACTTTTAAAACAAGACACTGCTTCGCGTTGATCGGGTTGAAAAACGTTGCGAGATCTAAAAATGAGTTTTTACAATGCTATCTTAGATGTACAAGTTTTCAGAGGTCATGTTCGCGACCAAAAGGAAACTTGTCAGTCAGTCACGCGACGAACGACTTGCTTTTAGTGAAGCCTAAGACAAAAAGCAACAGATTTTTGGCAAAACGTCGAAAGGAGAAGAGTTTATGACTAATCGGGGAATGAAAAAGGTCATGAAATACACACTTTGACATCTTCATTTCAAAATGAAGAAGATTTTTAGTCGCCAAAAAAACATGGATACCAAGTTTGGCTTTCTCCTGCAATTCAACAAGCCGTGCTACTGGAGTAACTAAAATGGATTAAGAACAAATTGCGGCACTTTTGCAAGTTTTACAGTTCTGACGCTACATCACAGACCCTCTATGAAGATATCTAAGATTGCGACTGATGGTTTCTCGGCGGTTTGATCTGAAAGTGCCAGGAAATGCCAGAAAACTTCTAAAATTTATTGTATGGTATGAATATGACAATTTATTCTTCATACTCCGCGTTACCGTTGTGAGTATAGTAAATATAACAGTTTTCATCACTGGCTGTGAGAGAGCTTTTATCAACGTGATATTCATACTTTTCTACTTTTTGGGCCACATTGTTCAAGGACAGACTTCCTGAATTTGGTCTACTGATTTCGGAAAAAAAAGACCCGGTGAAAACGAACGTTTGAAGTCCCAAAACTGACTAATAAACTATCTGTCACCCATACCACAGTTATGGCACAAACACTTACCATCAACGCCTTCTTCCTTCATATCGCTTCTGACACCTGTTCCTCAATACATCCGTAATGTGGTCTCCATACTTGACGAATGTCTACAAAGTGCACCCATTAACCTGAAATTCAATAAGCAATGTTAAAACCGTGGCCACTGCCGCATTAGCTTTGACGTTGCGCACTGCCAGAGCTAATCGCGGAGCCCGTGCTGTATGTAAGGTGATGTTTTGACCCTGAAATAAGTTGCTGCTCTGAACACATGTTGATACTTTAACCTAGTGCGAAAAGTTTTTCTTGTGCTCCTGTGGCTCATGTCACTACAATTAAAACCGTGGCTATAAACTACCACATTCCTTCGGCAGAAGGCTCTTCTTAACATCTTCGCCATGGTTCCGAAATGGTTCAATAGTACCAGCTTCACATCTTAGATTGCCCACTTATTGTTTCTTGCCAGTTTAAATCTGGCAGGGCTGTACACTTGAGCACAAGGTGAACGTTAATGTGAGCTTCCTGCGTTGGCTTCACTTTTTCTCACTAATGTATAATAATAGTAAAAGTTGATCCTGACTAGCCGGTGTCTTGTTCATTTATATAAGAAGAGTCCCACCCAACCGCTTCTTCATGTTATACTTATAAGGGTTTACATATTTCTTGCGTCCCAATACTGGGTAGGATCGGCCTAAATTGGCAAATATCAAATCATTCAAGGAGGTAGACGAGCGAAGCCACGAAAGCGTTTGTTATAGACTCTTGCGCACCTCCAGTGCCACAATGAAATTTTTAACATTCAAAGACATCAACTTGCTCCAGCCTTGAAGGCATCCTTTTTAGGGGAGCGTTGACCTCCATTTATATCCAGTTCTTAGAGGGCACAAATTATTTTTCTTCCGTTTATTTCAGCATTCCACCATTTTTTATTGTGTTAGCTTCTTCCACCATTCCTTAGAGACAGCCAGAGGTGCCGCTTTTCTACTTAAAAATGCATCTCTGCTCCCTAAGTGGCACGCAGAATTTCCTTCTGTGCCGGTAGCAGTCCACTGAAAACTAGCAGTGGAAAGTTCCTTTGTAAATCTCTCATATTATTCATACAGCAGCTAAGAGGCTTGGGTCTTGTTCTACTTGATCGAATACCTTGCTGTACATATCACCTGCTGGCCAAAGTACTGGCAAACACTGATTTGAGTGCCCCAGCCTTAATGCTTCTTATGCGAGAACACTATGCCAGATCTTCTGTTGCAAGGTTGACAACTCGGCCTTGATTGTGCCACGATGGCTTTATTATTGGTTCTGTTATCGCTTAAACAACCGCAAACCACACGTGCGCAGAAGATACAGCTACTTGTTGTGTCTCTTTGCCCTGTGTTGTTTGCGCTACATGAGCCATCATGAAAAATCGAATGATGTGAAAGTTCGGGGAGTAACTAAATATTTTTATTTTTCATGTGGCCATGTTCACTCGCTTCATACACAAATTCTCAGCTAAAAACATCTGCCGCGTTTAAATGCACAGACATCAGCCTGCTTATAGGAGTTCCTAACTCTCACAGCTTCGTCAAAAGGCCACCGTCGTTCTCTCGAAATGTCATTTACGATGCTCGCGAACAATTCAGTTTAACCTTTTATACTAAACGCGATGTGACATTTCCGCAAAAGCTGAATGTTGAGGCTACGCTGACGTCAACCACTCTCACTGAGATTTTTCAGCGGTTCAATGTGCGAGATCGTTGCAGGAATAACCGGCTGCGAACACTTTTTCCTTTGTGCTTGTGCGCGTATTCATATTGTCAACACGAAACTGGTAATTTGACGCCGCTCCAGAATCTGTTACTAGAAAGCCCTCTTCTTCTGTGATCAAGTGAATTTCAAGTAATGTAAGTGTTCACAACCTTCATTTTTGCACACCTTGAGAGTCACTGCCAAGCGTGCACTGCAAAAAATAACTGAAGCTTTTATAATCACGCCTTTCGTCTAAGATTTATCCTTTTATATCAATCCTATGTTTAGGCAATATTTTCATCAAAATATTGATGAAGGAAGTTTCAGAGGTAATAAGGACACGTCCGACGGCTGCTCCAGGCCCTGATGAAGTCGCTTAAGCATTGTTAATAATTTTATTCCAAGAGTCACGGCAGGATTTACTTATTACAATAAATTATTTGATAACAGATGCTTGGATTGCTCCTGAAGTAAACATCACGAAAACCATACCTGTTCAAAAAAAACCGGGCTATGTTTTTGATAATATGAGACCAATTGCATTCATGTTCGATTTTGTCAAGATAAAAGAAAAACTATTGCACGCTCGCATAATTAAATTTGTCGGCGGAGAAATGATTCTTCTACTATGTCAAATTGCATTTAGGAGAGATGTCCCATATTAGATGTACATATTGACCTCTAAAATCGTATAAATCTGGCGCGGCGTCAAGGGTGATATGCAGCTCTAGTTACTCTGGACACCACAAATGCGCATGACAGTATCGAATGTAGTGTACTAGCCCCTCGTCTGAGAGAAATCACTTCCCCGCATCATTTACAAGCGAAAATTACGGAAGCTTTAGGTAATAGAAAATTTTATTGTTCGCAAAGTGGGGTTTTATCAAGTATTTATAAACAGGAAAAATGAGTTCCCCAAGGTGCTGTTCTGTAGCCGGTACTATTCAATATTCTGTTAAGCTCGATCTCATGATGAGAATGTTCCCACGTATGTCTACGCTAATGATATTCCGTCCTTTTCGTCAGCTAATTACATTCACGCTTCCTATCAAAATTTGCATATCTAGTTATCTGACATAGAACACTGGCTTGACGTTATTCATCTCTCTCTAAACCTGAACAAGTGTGCCTTCATTAGTCTTTCGTATAAAATACTCCTGTACATATATCTCTCTCATACAAAACTGATATCATTCCACAATTTCAAAGCATCAAATGGCTAGGAGTGATACATGACAACTCTCTTTACGGCGAAACCGTATCGAATGTATTGCAGCAAGGGCCTGTTCGGGCAGTTCACTTATTACGGAGGATAAGCAACAGCATCATGAATGCGTCCGAGCTACGTATTTCAATACACCGCATGTATGTTTAACTGTTCTAGAACTTGGATGTGTTTTATCTTCCGGGGCACTTGCCTATAAGCTGCGTCCTCTTGTTCTTCTGGAGAAGCAGGCACTGCGCATGTACTTAGGACTACCTAAATCAGTAGCAAATAATGCTTTATATATGAGAGCTTGAATCCCCTCACTCGTCACCAGATTTAGAATATTGGCTGTGCAAACATATTTAGAGGCAGTTGAATCCCTTTTAAGGCGTAAAAAACAGTTTTTATTGTGCAATCTGACTTATTCTTTATTGTCACTGGCATAGATTTCACACATCTAAAGTAAACTTTGTATCGACTGTCCGGAAAAGTTAGGGAGGTTATTCCGATTTCTAACTCAACAAATTGTCTTCAAATATACTTTTATGACATCTTGTCTAACAGCGCTAACAAATTATCTTCAAATATACTTTTATGACATCTTGTCTGATAGTGCTAACAAATTATCTTCAAATATACGCTTATGACATCTTATCTAACAGTGCTAAACACCTACCGAATAATACGTTAAGAACTACTTTAGAAGACTACCTGCAGAGAATACAAGCGAATGTCATCATTCCGAGAGACGCTTCACGGAGAGATAAAAAGAGTGGTATCGGTTTATTCTGCCCTGTTCTCGGCTTGTCCTTGTGCCTCCGAATTCCAGATTTTTACACCCATATTTATTGCAGAAGGTTTAGGTGTAGTATTAGCCCTTCGAAAACTGACATTAATAAATTACGTCGCAATAATAAAGGATACTTCATTGATCTGCAGTGCACTCACGGAATGCGGTGATTTGAAAGCAATAAATGAATTCAATTTTATAGTACCTAATCACTTAATGAACATACGTTTATTATGGGTGCCTGGGCAAAGAGGCATAACTCTAAATGAAACAACTGATGCACTAGCGAAAGTGGCATTGGATAGACTGCAGCTAGCAATATAACCTCAACAACTTCTTTCACAGTAGGGGCTATATTTTGGAGGCAAATGATGATTCAAGAATCCTCGATATCATATATAATCACGCATAATCTAACAAAAAGCCCTGTTTTAGGCCCACCAGTGTGCGTCGTCTCAAGAACCAACATACTTGCACAGCGCAAGACTACGAGTAGTTACGGGATAACTATAGTAGAAGAGACAAGGACAGAAAGAACGCTGACTTCAACTGAAATTTTATTAGCGAAAACGCTTGAAATATATACTCGCGACAGAACATCACCGCGCAATCGCGCAACCTATTGCATCACAGCAACACAATCATCATCTCATTATATGGTTACAACGCCACAGCTCAGCACAAATTCACGATCTATTGTGTCAAAGCCAGAAACTCGATTTCTTTTTAGTCAGAGCAAGCGAAAGTATGCTGATACGATCGATAACCCAGCATTTGCATTTCATTGGCCTCCATAATCTCTGGTGTTAGCTGCTGACGGTGTTTGGCTACAACAGTGCACTTTTCAAATTCCCGTCTAGAATAGATGCCTAAATGACCTTGCACAGCTGAGTATGCATTGTAATGATGCTCCTTTAAACGCTCATTCAGGCACCAGGCCCGTTCGCCCAACATACATCTTGCCGCGTGACAACGGGAGCAAATAAACGACGGCTATCACACATGCTACGAATAGCCTTCTATGTGTGATTGTGCATCAGCTCCTTCGTGCGGACTGCGCATTCACCCGTTTGCAGAGCGCTGAAAGCTTTTCTGGGGCAGAGAAAACCACCTTCACGTCTATTTTATCACCTATCTTTTTCAAATTGTGAGAAATCCTAAGTAGATATGGAATCACAGCCACGCGCTGTAGGCTGGCTACCAGCCACGTAGTTCACTGGTGCTTCTCGTCCCTGTTTAATTGTCCTAAGCAACTTTTCCTGCCCCGAAACCAGCTCATGATCGGGAAAACCAGGGCTGATCAGACGGGAAGCCCGATCATGTGCTGTAGCCTTGTTTTTTGTGTTTATGGGCAATGTTTATTGTTGTGGTCACTTTATATTTGTCATGACTAATGAAAAGCGCTGGCTATATGTCTTTTTTTTTGCAGCGCGGACCAAGGAATACTATGGCCGATGTCCGCCTTTCGCAGCTATTAGTCACATTGTGCATTCTAGGAGTGTTAAGCTGCCTTTTTGTAACCCGCCTGGGGTACGTCCACGTGAAAGTCAACTGGCCTGAGTTCCAGTGACGTGGCAGAAAAAAAAGTTCAGGAATCTGCTGCCTTCAGTAATGTGGCGCTGGTAAGGCCTCCACCCAGGTGAGTACCGGTAATCGCTGCTCAAACAGCGGCAATCTGAGTTATAATTTAGTGACGAGTTGTCTTCCTTCGCATACGTATAAAGAATCTCAGCAGATACCATACAGATTTTGCTTAATTCAACTCCTTCAGAACACTTGTATTGAAATCTACAGACGCATAGACGTATAGTTGTGAAAACATTTTGAACACAAAATGACGATGGATCACACCTGTTCTGACAGAGACAAGCCATTTTCAGAAAACACAAACTCACAAACACACTTTGTTCCGGGTCTTGCATCACTGTCTTGCATCATCCCAAGATTTTATCATCGCCGATGTTCCAGATCGCGCAGTTGTTATTTCCCTCCTTCTCTTATTTCGGACGCAAGTGTGGTAGAAAAGGTTTATTGGCCGTTCCTATCTGCAAAAAAATGCTATCTAGAAACCTGAAATGAGGCGTTCTATACTCGTGAGACAGTTGCAAATAAGGACAGCAGCTGACTGTCCACGTCATTCAACCGAAGAATTTACCATAAAGTTCATACCATCTGCTTCCTCCACCTAACATTGATATTTAGGGGTCCATGGGCCTAGACAAACATGGCTCCTCGTAACTTTAAAGGGTAACGGCCTGGGCTAGTCGCTATGTCGAATGAAGTCATGTGAACTGAAGATGAAGGCAAGTACACAGTGTCACTATTACCCGGCACGAGGCAGAGATTACTCTGAGTAATTCTACACGCAAGATAGACGCAAAGGCGCTAGCAACTAATCAGTGGTAGGGGAACCAACGTTTTCTTCACAAATAAGATTACTAAGCAAGGAAGGTCGTGAAGCAACCGTGAAAACAAGACATCTTCGTTGTAATTAGTTCCGAGGAGACTGCAAAAGTACGACATCACGGTAATAACGGGTGTTTTAGGCTAGGCTTTAGAGCTTTGTGGAACTTCGAGTTCGTAAAACCTGATATCTGGTAGTCCTAGACGCCGATATCTTACCAAAAGACAATCCTCTGCCAAGAGCTTGACTATATGCTAAATGTTTTCGTCAGAGAATAGTTGCATCAATGACGATACGCAACACATAATTCTACAAGCTAACAGACCTGTGGGGATGTGCACCTACGAAAGAGATCTTTTTTTTTAATTTGGCCCCGTGTGTTAGTTGGTGACACGAAGAAGGGGAAGTCCCCTATAACGAGGAATGGGTAAATAACGGTGGTATGTGTTTCAACCAGTCTCATAGTGAAGTTTATCAAAGAGAAGTCATCAAGAACTACTGAAAATGACATCTGTGTTACGTGTGCAGTCATTTCAGGAGACTTGAGGTGGCCATGCTTAAGGTGGCGGAAAACATTGGTAGAGCGTGAAAGTTGTGACGTGACTACATTATGGCAACTGTGTTAAAGCTGACTCATACCAAGTATGCTATATAAATAGGCGCAAGGAGACAGCACAACGGCCTAGTAGGCCTGTTAGACATTAACGGAATGGCCTATAACTACAAACAAAACAATTAAGTCCTCGGGAATGGTACTTGTGGGCAAGACATGTATTCCCATAAAACCCTATTTTAAATACCTGCTACACTTGGCATCTAAGGATACCAAATATAGTAAACATTCTTTCATCGGCCACGCAGAAGTTTCCTCACAATGGAGCTATGCCAATTTTATCTCAGTATATTTTGAACTGTCACGTGGTATCATCTGATTTTCCCACCCTCTTGTTTGTCCACGAATGTTTGCTCAAATAGCCTTCACGAAATTTGACACTGTCTGCGAATAGGGCATTCAGGGGAAGCTGCAGTCAGTTTCAGAGAAAAAAAAGGTGACGTCACTCAATATGCCTTTTTAGTTAGCCCAATTAACGAACACCGCATTCATTTGATTTGCCGTGTTTTGCTGCAATAATTGGCACCTACTTTGCTTCGTGTATTTTGAGTGTTCAATTCTCATATTTTATTGCAATCCTTATGCAATGAACATCTTTGGGCGAAACGTGCATTGTCCTAATGGGCACAACCACAGCGTCTGTCAATTTCACGACGATTGGTAATAGGTGGACCGGGGAAATGCCGTGCGCAGTATCTAAAACATGGCGCGCCGTGTCGTTAACAACCACGTTGGCCTATGCTACATTACGGGTTACATGAGCCACAAACAAGTACGAAGCGTTCCCTTCTTTCTCTGTTGTCTCGTATCTCCTCCTTTCACTCGGTATCATTATGTATGATTCATTGCAGCTTGCCGAACCCCCAACCTTGTTGCGCTGCATTGCGAGACTTGCTAGGTTATGTAAATGTACGCATCGCTTTCACTTACCTTACCTATTTCATTTAGACGATAACTTTACGTTTCTCCAACTCCACTTCCTTCACAGTGAGAAAATGACGCTGGTGTACGTTATATGCGAGAATCATTTTGATCTGGGCCTCGTGGCTGTCAAGTCAGCCGTAGCCTACTCCACGACCAGACTGCACCTTATCGTCATAGCAGATGATTATAACAAGGACAAGGTGCGAAACGAGGTAAGCATTTACAGATGTCCGACCGATTCTTCTACACACGTGAGCTTTTACCGGAAGTTTTCTGTATAATGTATACCGAACGATGTCCGGTAATTTCACTGTAGCGTTCTCAGTAAATCAGCGATTGTAAGGCATTGTTTCCGCTCATTTGTGCCATTCTGTTTCCTCGCTCAGCTTCATCGATTCACGACGGCTAACTGTTGTACTCCTGACAAGGCCTCGTGTAGGCTTAGGCTTCCTTGTAATACAAGAGCATCAATAACGTCAGGCATGCGAAACATATTCAAGAAGCAGAACACTGGCACACAATACAATCCTTTTTCTCAACTACAATGGCATGTCGATGATTCGATTCGCCCCACACTGAAGGAGCCGAGTCGAGTGATAAAACAACATGTAAATGATCAGCGAACTTCATTGCTTAAGTTACACAACACAAACTATTTATGGTAATTGAAGCTGTATACTTATTTCCCTTTCCAGCCTTTCTGTCGGTATTTTTTTTTCAGTAGGGTGCTTGGGTACACATATTATGATGTCCCCATTCAGACGTAAGACAAAGTTGTCTTACGTCTAAATGGGTACTTCATAATTTCAGTTCTGGAATTTAAGTCAAATTTTTTAGCACTTTATTTCGCCCTAGCCGTGCACCGAGGAACAGTTTAACACGAACAGATGCTTATGTTACAGACACGTTTTTTTAAACGTTCACAACCGCTCTCGAGTTGCAAGCGCACGCTCCTATACCCTACATGCAACATCACTGATGATGGCTAGTGACTTCAGTCTTACGTCCAATGAATAAAGCGCCAAGTAGGCATTAGTTATGCGCCAAGAAACGAATGAGAAAGAACTTAGTGAAGAAGTTGTGTCACGTCTACACGTCGTGCTGCCTCTGCTTCGGCACTTGATGGTAGGCTAGTGAGCGTACGAGCGAGAGGGGGCGCTTGTGGATCCTAGTCGAAGACGCACAGCATTGTTTCCACTGGCAGTGAAGCTTGCCTCGCGAACAATGTAATGACGGCATTACAGTTGAATTTCTTTTAACTTCACCACACCCACTGAGTTCGAAACATATGGAAAATTCAGTGTGCAGCAAACGGCAACAAAGACCTTCAGTTTGTTAAAAGAGGTTTGCAATGAGTAGAGGTCAGTACCTGTTCAAAATTTCCAACTGGATGCTCCTAACATCAAGATGGATCGAGAGAAGGCTGAATGCTTCTGTGAGTTAATGTTTATGTCATCCGTACCGGCAACGTTGCAATATACCATGGGCACAAATTGTGGAACCATGGAGTGGCTGATGTTTCTTTTCTATGTTGAAGGCGTTGTCCACTATATACCGCTTCGAAGATTATGGAGCTGCGTGGGGCAGTATATATCACGCGTTTTCAGGCCAAGCTGAAAAAAAAAGCCTCTTAGTCTATTGCGCACTGTTTCATCTAGTTATTGTATGCAAAATTGTTAGCCCCTAGCCTCATTTTCTGTTGCCTTCCATTTTTGTTATGGCATTCATTGCCTCGCACATGACGTTTTTTTCTCGAAAGAAGCAAGGAGTGCACACAGGAGGATCGCACCATCGGAGATAGATAAAAGATGAAGAAAGCTGATAAGGATACAAGTATTATCTGTGGTTTCGTGCACCAAAACTATTATATGATTGTAAGATACGCCGTAGTGGAGAGCTACGGAAATTACGACTATTTCACCTTTCATTATTGTGCGCTTAAGGGGCCTCTCAGAGCACTGGAAATGATTGTATGTATGTGTCTGC